AGATCATGTGACATTCAATGAAAATGGAATATCATCTCATATGATTGTGGGAAAAATTCAGCTACCAGTCTCCCTTATCACCTGAAATACAAAAGCGTGAATACACTTTACATTTAAATGATCTACTGGTAGTCACGAAAACCTACTTATAAGAACGAAACAAAAGTGAAATTCATTTGTATGTGATTTTTTACAAAATCACATACAGTCGTCCCTCATCACCCCAAAATGGCCAAACTGACTAAAGCCCGTATAATAAATGAATGTGTTGGTACCTGCCCGAAGATGAGGCGTTTTCCTACCAGCTCAGTCCTGCAGTCAAGAATGTGCAAAAACGGCTCCTTCAGAATGGCATAATTTAGCGATTGGGTTGCAGATGTGTCCCTTTCTTATTGTTACACTCTGCTCGCGAAAAGCGCCGGTCTCCCAGCGGGACTCGAGCCTGAGCTTCGTGAGTTCGGCTGGAATCGAACAGCCGTCAATCTCCGCGATCCCTGCGAGACGCCTTTCTTCATGTTGACACTGTCTGCCTCATGGCGTCCGGCCGAAGTTGCACAAACTGTCGTGCCCGTTAGGAGGCGAAAGGGTATCCTCAAGAGCCGGCCGGCCGGTCTGTTGCTGTCGAGTGTCCGCTGGCAAGTTCGACTGCCATTTTGAGGGACTGCAATGCGTCCGGAGGGCCAGAAGAAGTCTGAACTGATGCAGGCCATCGCGCATTGGTCGACAGCGCATACGAGTCTTTCGTCTTGAGTCAAAAAAGTGCATTAAAATGACGCGAAACACACAAAAGGAGAGGACCTGAAATGGAGTCCCTTCATTGAAAGCTTTTTAGTCAACTTGCAACGGTTCGCATTTGGCACATTTTCCGAACATGCATTTCACAATCCTCGTCAGCCTCTTCATTTTCTTTTTTTATCTCGTATTCATCGTATTCTTATTCATTTAATACCACTTTCTTCCCACTACTCTTTAACTGTATCATTATAAAATACTTCACGAATGCCTGCTTTTATCCTTCTTATTGGCAAAATATCCTTTTCTCCTTATAGCTCCTTTTTCAACTTATTTTCATCACCAGCTTATTTTATCCATTTCTTCCCCTCCTTAGCATATCTTTAATTTTGAACTTTGCCTCATTTCCACTTCCAATAATATTTTATTCTTTAAAATATAATTATACTCTTTTATTTTTTCCTTAGCATGCCTCACATTTCACCTAAAATAAATCGGCCCCATCCTATTCACCACCAATTTCATTATGATCGTTTCCTTCCTAATCATCATTTTTTCTTGAATATATGAAGACCAAGATGTTGTGACCTCTGTTATGGTCGAAGTCTCTTTTAGATTTATAGAAGTTGGTCAAACTC